TTCACTTTTTATCTCAACAACTAAGACCAATTGTACAAAAAGTAATCGCCCAACATTTTCAAAATTATAAACTAATCGAATGAACAAAATTAATAAATAATATTGAACCGGAAGAACGAAATATATTAATTAAATATAAACATGAAGGTAAAACTAATCACAGAGGCATAGAAGAAACTTGTAAATTTTTAAAAAATAATTATTACTGGAAATCCTTAAAGTCAGATGTCACAAAATATATTAACGAATGTGAAATTTGCCGGAGCAAACGAAGTAAAAATCCACAACCTGAACAACTATCCAGGAATCCTTCCTTATAAACTAGGTACCGCAAAAATAACCTCCAACCATTTCTCCTTTATACAAATTTTTGATTTAAACCCAGGTGTTGCTGAATTCTATGTAATTTATAACCAAGTAAAAATATTAATTAGTCAGATTAAAAATAATACTAATTATTTTCACGAATATTCTAATTCAGTCATCCCTCTTGTAACATTAGAAAAACGCATTGAAAATCAAATTAGTCAACTCAATCCATTATCTATAAGAAGTAAAAGAGGCCTATTAAACCCAATAATACGATGTAGAAATCAAACAACTGCAAGAAAACCAAAATAATTTAAGAACCAATTCAATTAATCAAATAAAACTGTTAGAAAAAACAATCAACTCATTTAAAAATTCGATATCAAATATTTCTCATAACCAACTTATCCTTAAATCTAAAATATTACAAATTGATCAAGTAATTAAAAAGATAACCATTGAACAAACGAATGACTATGAGAATTTCCAAATACATGTAGTAATGAATCAAATTACCTTTATGTATAATTTAATATATAACATTTTTGAGAAAATTGAAACCGCAATTAGTTTTGCCAAATTAAACACTTTACATAACTCGATAATTTATCCGTCTGATCTATTCGAAGAAATTAAAAACATTAAAAAAGAACTAAAGGAAAATCAACTGCCGTTCGAGTTATCTATCGAAAATATATTAAATTTTGAAAAAATTATAGAAATAAAAAGCTACTCTAGAGGACTAATAATAACATTTATTTTGGAACTACCGCTACTAGAATCAGAAATTTATCAATATTACCAGTTGTATCCGCTACCAGTTAATAGTGAACAAGAACTGCAATATTACGTTAATATACCGATCAAACCATACCTTGCATTGAGTGGAAATATGTACTCATTTATGGACTCTGAATGTGTAAAACTATTAAAAAATAAGTTCATGTGTAAAAATATACATATTACCTATATGAAGGAACACCCGCCTTGTTCAGTGGAAATAATAACTCACAAGACTAATATAACAAACTGTAAATCAATTAAAATCCAACTTCAAGAAATAAAAATTTTTAAAATCCAAAATGGAAAATGGATTATTGTGACACCTAAGAAGATAATAGCAACAGTACAATGTAATGACGACATTAATACTGTTCCATTATTTGGATCCCACCTTATCGAATCCTCCCCAATTTGTAAAGTACAAATTGGAAAAACTGAACTAAGAACCTATACCCCTAATCGATTGAGATTTGATGACACTCGTCTACCGGAAGTGAATCTCTCACTACTACATAAACAGAAAACAATCTTCGATCCACCAGAACTCACATTGGACACGATCAACCTAAAGGAAATAAAGGAGCTGCAAATCCAAATGGACGAAGCAAAAGAAAACCTTGGAAAGATGTCATCACGTATATATTCTACAAGAACCAGTGTTTGGACAATTTTGTTATACGTAATAATTATATTAATCTCGATTTATTTATTATATAAATATTTTCCATTTAAATCTAAAATTAATAAACAAAAAGAAAATATTGTTATTTAAAAGCACTTGTTGTACCCGTGCTTTTATCTAAGGGCGGAGGAGTTATAAATGCTTTGATACTGTAAACTGCTGAGTATATATATTATATTACTTGTTTCTCAAAGTGTCAGCAATTTTTCTATATAAAACCACGGTGCGAACCACATCGCTAGCTTGTTTGTCATCTCGCTTGAATAAAGTTTTTTAAAAAATCAAATTCGTTTTCCACGACGAACACTGTAGGGAACATGCAGCTTACCGCTCTGTGTTGTATGTTTAGAATGTACACCGTGTGCCAAATAAAACGATCTAGTATAAAATCTGAACACCCATAGGAGATACGAAAAAATGTTTCCTACAAAAGTTTCTTGGACTCTCCTGAATTTTGTTGATACAGGGTGTCTCAAAAGTAAAATAAAGGTCACTTTCTTAAGCAATCCAAATTTTGCATAGTTTAGGCAGAAATGTGTTTTTTTCATATTTTGAATGCTCCATATAAAATTCTGTTGTGGCCTCCACTGATCCAGGTATTGTAATGAAAATTTAGCCATATACTAAGGAGATGATGCACTACTCAATCAGTTTGACAGATGCACCTCAGCTTATACAAGATGTCCCAAATAGATGGTGCCGTTTTGGCGAATATCAATTCTAGAACAAAAAATAAGGAAAGTTTTACGTACTTTTTGAGATATTCATTGCAATATCAGGGATCGATAGCGTCATAACACAATTTTTTATGGAGCAATCAAAATATTAAAAAAAAAACACATAACCTCAATTTCCGCCCAAAACTAGGCAAAATTCGAATAGGGATTTCTTAAGAAAGTGACCTGTATTTTAACCAAGTATTACAAAAATCTCGAAATATATAGGGTGTTCCATTAAAAATAAAAAAAAGTTGGTGTCGGGGGGACAATCTGTATCGACAAAAATATGGTATTTTAAATATTTAGGAGAGTCCAAGAATTTTTTTTTCGTATCACCTACTGGTTTCCCGATCAAATAGTGGATCGTTTTATTTGGCACACGGTGTACGTCACCAACTAACTTAAAATTCGATAAATTGTTAAAGACATACAATGACATTTCATAAATCGATAGACTTGCCAATGTGAGAATTTTGTACTGGGCAAATAAACCCCTACAAGATGTAAATTTGGAAATATGCGCAATATTCCTTAATATACATTTTTGAGCCAAAAATTTACAGATGCTCCCCACAAGAGTGTCTTTGTAGCATACAATCGGCATTGAACCTCTTGCGTTCTGTCTGTCGGTTTTCTTATACGTATCGCCGTAATAGTAGTTGTACTGTAGAGCCTTACTTTGTAAGAATCTATTCAGCAACATTTCGAAAAGTTTGATCCATAAATTGCTTAAAGTAGTTGATTGGTTTTATTCAATCTTCCAACTTGGGAAATGGTCCTTCGACGAAGAAATTGGGAATCAACTTTATCTAACAACTTTATTAAAGACAATGAAATTTGCTTGACTTTGCTGGAAATTTCCCACTACGCAATATTCTACAACTTAAGTATCAATGAGTGACTGTTTTTGAGCTCTAATTTACCTCTACTCTCAACTGAAACTAACTAAATTATTTCACTGCAGTGTAAAAATCTTCAAAAAAACGAAACTCTACTTTTTTTTACCATGTGGAGCTTTTTGTGGAACAGCCGGATAATCTTACACCTAGAACTTAGATCCCTTCTCATTCATTATCATCAGTTTTCAGGAAATGATTCATAATTCGATATTTCTGTTGGAATTAACTTCACCTTCTTCATTAACGTTTAGAGATTCTTGTAATAAGAATAATTTGTATTTCCTTATAAACAATAAATAAAAGTAAAAGTACACCTACTACATACATTGGAGAATCTAGAAATGTCTAAAATTGAAATAGATTCATAACAGCTTTTAATGGTAAATCTGCATCAACGTATCTTGCACCTACAAAGATCCCATTTCTGCTACCACATCAGCAAGTTTCTCTCGAGAAGAATCTTCCTTTATTTTTATATATATGTTTTACTTTTTCGGTAATATCTCAGGTTAGACAAAAAATAAAAGCCTACAATTTTAATTCTTGCTTTATATTAGTTACTTACAAAAATATTTGCAGAGCTCAGTAGGTAGGAGCTTGGTAAAACGCCCACGGACGTCGCCTGCAGTGTAGCTTATCGACAATCGACAATTAACTTTAAAAAATCATATAAAGAGAGAAAAAATTTGCATAGTCTCTATTTTCTAAATAATTATTATTCTTGTCCCCATTACCTTATTTGTATATCTAGGGAAAATGTTTGGGAGAGCTAATATTTTGTTCCAATTATTTGACATATATTTTAGGCAAATTTTAGAGAAAATCGGTGTTTTTCTTTTACTAATTGTGTGTTACGCCCTCTAGCAGAGAGTTAACGATTTTTCATGGCATCTTTTATTAAACAACATTTAAAGGTTTTCAAGATAGAGGCGTTTATCCAAGTGGTGAGAACTTTATCATTTTATATACTCGAAATGGCATTATACTCCCCAATACCCCTAAAATTCTCATATAATGCCTCCTAGACCTTATGTCCCAATGCCCAATAATGCCCAATGCCCCTACACTGCCCCACATTTCCCATACAATACCTCATAATTTCTAATAATTCCGCACTCATCTTTTTTAAATTCATATACCCACCACCTTTTTTTAAACGTATTAAAAGCCAAATAAATGGAAAAATACATAACTAAATTAAAAGTCAATGATTTTATTTCAATTGAATTTGATGGTTTTACTCCTCAGGGGCGCAATACCCAAAATCAGCTAAATAAAAATTCTCAGATTATAGCCGGTTCTCTGACTTACGGAATAAACATAGACTTTTTATTAAAAATGTATTTTATTTTGAAAACTCATGACATGAAAGAAAAATATAATAAATAATAAATACGATTATTTGCACAAAAACATTTAAGTGAAAATATAAAAAAAACACTTTTAGAACATTTGTTCCTGTAAAACAGAAGATGTCTAAATGAGGTACTTGACTTAATGGCCTAACTTAACATATTATAGCGGCTAAACAATAGTAGAAATTTATTCATCCAGAAGCCTGGACTGACAAAAAATACCACCAATTCTATCGTTCATTTTAATTCTTAGATTTTGCTGGAAAACATTTTACCCGCTCACGTGGCGGAACACTTTCTCTCTACCCGTCTCACCCAGGATCTCTACCACGAGCGGTATTCTTGCGTGGCCGTCATGTTCGCCTCCATTCCCAACTACAAGGAGTTTTACGACGAAAGTGACGTTAACAAGCAAGGCCTGGAGTGCCTGAGGCTTTTAAACGAAATTATCTGCGAGTTCGACAAGGTAAGTGAACTGTGGTTCGAAGAGACGCTTTTTAGCCAAAGTTTGTTTCAGTTGCTGCTCAAGCCGAAGTTCAGTTGCATAGAGAAAATCAAAACGATCGGCAGTACCTACATGCTGGCCTCGGGATTGAGGCCTGGAAAAGAAGATGGAAATACGGTGCGTTTATTTTAAATCTGTTTTTGTAAGATGGATGGAGGTATCTTTTTATTGACATTGCTTTCTCAAGAATTGAAAATGTTTACTTTCAAACTAACCAAATATTACCATTTGCAAAATTTCTGGATTCCTATTGCGTTTCCCCAGTCATTGTTAATTTCCACGCAGTAGTTAATGCCTGAACAAGCCAACAGGATGATTGGCGAAACGTCAGCAAGCTCGACGCCAGGAGCAATCCAGAAGTTTTGTAAATAGTATTACAGTAGCCTGTGGAAGTTTCTTTGAAAAATTAACTCGAAATTATTTCATTTGACTGAGATAATTTTTTTGTGATATGTTTTACGGTAAAACAAACGCGTTTATTATTATATTTACTAGTAATTAAAGTTGAGGAGTAAAGTCCACCAAAACCCGTGAACCTAGTAAATTATGTAATAATAATAATAGCAATAGCAAAACGAATGATATTCCAAGTTCGAGATTTTTATTTACTTAAACTGATAGATCGCACATTTTACAATAGTAACTATTGTAACAACTGGAATCAAGAAAGTTAATCAAATCCATGTGCAATATTTCTCAAAAAAAGCGATTCGAATGTCAGAATAAAGTATATAAGTTACAAATGCAATTTAAATTAGATAAAAGATAATTTTAAACTTGTAACTTTGGTCAATCTAAGCTACAAAATTATATGGGAGACATGTAACCGATTAGATTACTACCAGAATTTGGATAGCCGTCGAAGCTTAAATTTGGAGCAAGTGTTAAAACCAAGGTCTTTGGTAAATTTTTTTTTGATTTTTTGCATTAAAAAAGTACTATAGAAACTCAGGACCAAAGTGAAATATGACTGTGACAAATTTACAACGCATAAATTGAAACTGACATATATTTTTGCACTTAAACAATGTTTTATTAATTACCACAACTTACATACTGAATACACAGCATACAGGGAGGCTCAAAATTATTGGCGAAACATAACTACCACGTGATGCGTTTAAAATTTGAACAAAAACTTTTTAACAAGCTTTAACAAAAAAACGAATATTCATTTTCTCGTTCAATCCATTCTTTAAAAAATATATTTATCTTTAAATTTGTTTTTCTTTTTGTTTAAGAACATATCCAGAAAATATAGTTATTTTATTTTTTCAAAATGTCATCAATTACATAAAGTTATAAAAGTAAAAATATTGCGCATTTGATTCCTATAATGCAGTTTTGGGTTACTTGTTATCGGCTGACCCAGATTATCTTCAAAAAATTAGGTCCAAAATGCTCCAAACTCTCTTTTCTGGAATGGAAAGATAACTCGCAAATTTCGTGACGATCTTCATCTCCCTATATGCTGCTTTTTTGGTATTCACATACCCTAAGAGGTGAAAAATGTGACTCATCGAAAATAGTATATTATGCAACAAGTGCGGTAAACGTTGTTTGACTCACGAGTTTATTTGACATGAGCGGAGCGAGTTTTTAATAAACGAGTGAGTTAAAAAGTTTACCGAACGTGTTGCATACTATACTTTTTCTACGACCGTTAGTTTTTGGTTACTTTTTCGCAACACAACACGAACACATTCACTGACAAAACCGTCAGAATTGACAAACGTCAAAATTCAAAGCGTGGCAAATATCTCCGAAAACTCCCGATTGCTCCCAAATCCATGCGGTAAAATCCCGAAAATGTCAGAATTGTCTCGGATTCATGGGAAACGAAACTGATGTCGTAAAGTGACGCTTCTTGCATGCTTAGTCGGTGTGTAATTAGGTATTTTACAGACGGGAGTAGAAAAAGAAAATTTCCTTTGAAAAATCAGCATCTACAAGGTTTTAGTTATTGTGTGATCGAAATTTTATGTAGGTGTGTAAGTGCAAGTGCAAACTCACCAAAATCTATATAGGTTAAACACCTATACGATCTAGAGTAGCAGGTGAGCAACAATGGTTCGGTTCTAACTTAGACTGCACAACGCAGTGACTTCTTTCCTATTCGGTGGAAACTTATGATATTACAGTGGTATAGTAAGCCTTCCAAATATTACTTTTAAATCGAAGGAAGATCTCTATGTTTAAATATTTATTGGAAGTTCCAGCAGACCAAAGTTAGCCGAATGTTGCGAATTTTTGCTCAGTAGGATGATTAAATTGTCATATTCTTTCATTAGGTGCCGATGAACCATTCGTACAACGCTGTTATTAATATAGAATAATTTTAAAGTACTTAAACCTTTCATTTTGAAATTCTCTCGTTGCAAACTTTCTACTTTCAAAATAGGTGATCCTCGACAAGTGTTTGATTTCCAAAGATAACAACAAAGAACCTCAAATTGAAAAACTAAGCCGGCCGCCTAGCAGTTTTTCGAACGCAAAACAACGAGCCAAACTAAATAAAACCTAAAAGAAATAGAATTTTAAATCTGATTCTAAGCTCCGGAAGGCACTATTCGTTACTGTTCCGCATTCAAAGCTTTCCTAACTAAAAAACGAGAACTTTTCAACTTTTTAGATAAGGAAATTTTCTTAATTATGTCTCGTTTACTTTGACGATTAAAAAGTTAGTAATGAAGCTGAAGTTTTCACTAAATGTTTTTTCCTGGGAGACTGTGGCAATGGAAAAGCGCGAGAAACGATGCTTTTTTTTCAATTTTGTTACCGGGTTGCGGACACGTCAAATAGCGAGCAAAAGGATAAAGGGCTCTCTATTATGTGTCCCCCTTAGAAAATATATAAAAATTCCGAATTTCGAGAGCGCCATTAGGCGCGGCCGTAAGCCTTTCCTGGTAGTTTCGCAGGCTGAAAAAGAAGGACAGATGTCGAGTAAAATGTGCAGTCGTTTAGGAATTTGTCTATCAGCTTCTCTTCGTTACCTTTGTTAGTGTGGAACAATACAAGGAATACTGTGACAAAATCACCGTCTTAAATTCTATGCGTGTTAGTTCAAGACTTTTTCTAAATATTTGCAGCAAATTGTGAATTTTTTTTTAACTAAATATTTTACATTTTTATTATCATTTTCAATTACTTGGTCGAGTCATTTTCCCAATAAATTTTAATGCAATTTAGACTACAGTATAGGGACGTCGGCAAGTACTCCTCATTGTTTAGATGAATGGCTGTATAAATGTCAATCAGGTGGGCATGATTTCTATTACGTTATTTTCTAGTGGAACTAGAAATGGGGAAATGTTTTTACTGGAAAATGCATTTTAATATTGGCTGCCTAAAACATTTGTATGCCCACTACACGTCAGTTTGTTCGATGCTAGAACAAAAAGATGAATAAATTATTTAACAATCCATCCATCCTATAGATTGTATTAATACTTCCCTAATTTCTTAAACCTACTATGATGTAAAATTTTCCATAAATTATATTTCCATGAATAATCCATCAGAAGTATTATTTTATTTGAGCAAGTGCTTCAGATGTTACGGAATTGATGTAATGTATTTTGGTATCATAATACCGTTTACAATCCTACCAAACCATCTTTATTGCATCAATTTGAGAAGGCGGAAGCCATTTTCTAAAGTCCATTCTTAAAAGATTGTATTTTGAAATAATAAAGCTGGTCTAATAAACTTGGCTCGACGAGAGACTGCTTGATCCAACATTGATTGTCCATTTTTATTAATGAAGGTTCACTAAGATTGGGCAGCAGCTGTTGGCTGTTGTTAGATGTAAATTTACATAACGAACTCATTCACCATAGTTTTTCGGAACTGTTTCTAGAGAATCGTCTTGCCAGCGTTTTCCTTTACCAGATATCCAAGTCTCGTCCAAAAATACTGGATGTTTAATACACCAATTAATGAAGCACGTGAAATATCGATACGATCGAATTCGTATAAATTTTTGCGTAGCTACGAAATAAGGACCACACCCAACAACTTCGCAGATCTTCCTTCCGAAATATTTATATTTGTTGAAAAGACTAACGAGTGAGTTTTATCCTCGTTTAATTTTAGGCGATTCGCTCTAAACCACATATTGGCCTGTTTTTTCGCCAAATGTTTGATGCTTTAAATGTATAGTCATCTGCAAAATTAACCGCCGCCACAGGGTTCATATTGCCAAAGAGTTCATTAACATAAACTAAAAACAATAATGGAGCCATAATGGAACCCTGTGGAACTCCGTGCATTACATTTCGTAAAGCTGACATTTTATTATTGCAAAAAACTGCTTGTTTTCTGTTAGGGAGATAAGAGGATAATACCTTTAACGCAATGGGTTCCAAACTATAAAATTAAAGTTTTTCCATTAAAATTGAATGACTGCCCCGCTCAAAGTCCTCAACTATATCAGTAATAGTGCTGGTTTGAATTTAGCAAATTATTTGACTCAAAATAATAAGATAGTTCAGAATACATATTTTTTTCTAAAACTTTGGAAACATTGAGATAATTGATACTGTTCACACACATACTTTAAAAACCTCCGGATATATTTCAAGTCTAAAGCTTTTGAATTGAATACAATTAAGCATATAACGTGTAACATCAACTAATAACAGCAACATACGAAAAAATATTTTTCTAGCGTAGATGAAGAAGAATACAAAACAAACAGCCTTTTTATCTCAGTTGGTAACAATATAAGCAGATCGTTTGAATCTGCTTTATTCCAAAAATAACACAATGGAAAAATTAATTGAAATCCTGCTCCTGTCCTAGTGTTTTATAATGATATTTTTAGGCACTTCAGGTAAACTTTCAACTGAAATATGATTCGCACCAAACAAAGAGCAATAAACAAAACTACTGTGCCAGTTCCTATTAGGCTTTTTTGAATGTGGTTGTTGCTTTTCGTTGACCAAAACGTATCAAAAGCAGAACAGTCATCAAAAATTTTGGTGAAAAATTAAACCAAACTTAAATCTCCTAACCTTATTGTCATCCCCACAATTTTTTTAATGCGGATGGTGGTCAAGTCTGTACATCCTTATAAATTGCTTTTAAATCTAAAACAACCGAAAATCACATTATTTAGAAAAACGATTTATACTCATCGTACACGAAGCATAACTTCATCGAATCATAACTTTAGCCGCCCTCAGAGTTTAACTAGAGCAATTATAACGGTTTTCGTTTGATTAGAAATATCGATACCTCTATTGCTCAAATGAATGTGATTAAAACGCTAAAGGGGTGGAAATATTACGATTCGTTTCCGAGTTTAATCCGCCGGAACTTCCACGTTTAACAGCTTAAACCGAATGAGTCGTCGCGAAGTCTGAAAAAAATAACCGTGATATTTCGCCCATTTTGCACTTCATAAATTAGTTATAGGTAAACAGCAACGACTACGAAAATATTTTACGGGTCATAAAATAACAGGGTAGTAACTGCTTTTCACAGACATTGAACAAATACGAAATATTCCGAAATTGATATATTCTTAATTGCACAGGGATTTTTGTTTTTGAAAATCCCTATAGTTTTTTATAGTTTGTACTATTAAAAAGTTAATTGCATAAATTCATACTTATCCCAGAATTTAATGGACGCTTTATTTTAGTTTTATTTCAGGAGAATGATTTTCAATTTGATAATTAAATACAAAACCAATATTTTAAAATTTTATAAGTTTTGGGGTTGAAAGTACACCGTACGCCACTGTGGTACGTCGTAATATGTGTCTTGAAACAAGCCTCGGGGTTTAGGAATAGACTTCAAATGCAAACATCTTACTAATTTACATCGAGATGCTTTGTCGTTACATGCCTAAGAATAAGCCTTTAAGCTTTTTCCACTAAAAAAATAAATGTGAGACATACATTGTTGTTTTGTAATAAAATAGGAAATTGAATCCATTAAAAAGTGAGTTGATTTTTTTCTCATTATCCACAGTCAGTAGAAAAATTATGAGCAGAAAACGTGAGAGCAAAGAATAAAGATAAATGGACAGCTTTATCGGTGAAAGAAGTAGTTTAAAAAAGTTTTTATGATACAATTGTTCGATTAGGATAATAAATAATTTTAAAATATGTTGCATATTTTGGATTACTCGATGGTCACTCTGGAGCTTATCTGAATCTTAACTTTCACTACTAACTTGTCATAACATTGTCGAAAAATGTACCTGTTTGTTTTTCTCAAAATATGCCGATATGTAGGACATGTTCAAGGTAACAAAACCTCATTAGGTTTCGCTTTTATAGGTGCAAGTCTTAGAAGTTAGAGCTAGAATTAGAGTAGATGGGATATCAACAATAAACTTTACATAAACTAAGTTTAGTTCTGCTGGAGCTCCATTTCGTACACAACGCGTCGAGAGTGTTGTTATTAAAATTTCAAAATCGCTCTGTGACGATGTACTTAATGGATCGCAGAGTTAAAATGTTATCCTCTCACGTAAAACACTATTAAATGTTTATATTTTTCTTTGAATTCGCTGATTTTCAGGAACTCTTTAAGGTAACGAGAAACCTTCGTTTAGACATAGTTGATCCCAGACTCGTAGATTAATAGAATTAGCCAGTCAATAAGCAATTTGCCTCGACGTACTCAAACTTTTGTTTTGCACTTCTTGTAGGAAGTACACAGGAAAGCGGAGCACATCATAACGGCGCTAATAGACTTCGCCATATGCTTAATGACAAGTTTGGATCAAATCAACAGGGATGCATTCCAAAGGTTTAAATTAAGAGTAGGTAAGAATCCGACCCAATGATTTCTATATAAAATGTTCTTCGCAGAATTTAAATTTGATATTGAAGTCAAAGTGTACATTCCAGTCAATGTATACATTTACTAGCGAATGCATACATTCACTTCCCATTTTATTGGAATGAACACTTTAACTAGTAACTGCATGCATTAACTAGGTAATGCATGCAGTTACTAACCAGCTGCAGTCAAAGCGTTAATTGATGAATTTCAAAATAAAATTTAGTTTAATTATTAAATTAATTATTTCGATGATTATTGCACTAGAGCTAGTTATAACATAAAAATACAAAAGCACCTAACATAGAAAGAAGATAATTTGAAACACAAACACATTTATAAATAAAAAAAACACTTTATTTGTTTGAACAATTCAAACTTCCATGGCATTTGGAATTGCACAATTTTTTTGCTTTAAGGCATGCACATCTATTTGATGTGCCTTTTGTTTTACATTGGCTTAACCACCAAGCCTTTCTTTTCATTCGCCCTTTTTTTAAGGCACACTTCACAATTATTTAAAAATGTTTGAATGTCTTGTGCTGTTATATTTTTAAAGCGAAGGTTAAGTTTCTTTTTCATTCTGTCTCGTCCACCATGTCCAATTGATAAATTAGTTCCATATAAAATTTCAAACAATTCTTCAACAGTAATATAATACAGCACTTTTTCATTTGCTATTGGTGCAATTTGTTTATCCACATTACATACATACACTCTATCAAAATGTTTTAGTAACCAGAAGTGACGATTTTCTTTTTTCTGAGCAGATTTAGCGGATTTAACATCATTTATTAGTTTTGTATATCTTTCCGCAGTCATACGAAAGCCGTTAGCTTTTTGTGGAGTATTGTTAATATATTCGTAGAATTTAACTTTCATCGCTTCTTTATCCATTTTATATTTATGACTAAAAAAATAATTAATAATTATTAATTACTCTGGACACATACAATTTAAACAATTCACTTACCAAGAATTTCAAACGGAAAAACAACAAACAGCAAACGGTGCAGCACGAATAAAGAGGTTAGGTTTTAGATTTCCCGGCAAATTTAATCCACTTCCCACTTTGACTGGAAGCAATCCGTGAATGCATACATCCACTAGCAAATGTGTTCATTTCGGTTAAAACGAATACTTTAGCTACGGAGTTTAGCAAATAGCATTGGCTAGATGTATACATTTACTAAATGAATGCTTTGACTGCAACATATACATACGTACCCCAAGGTGAGAAATGCTGAGCCCCATCTAAACGGTATGTTTTGCTTGGAGACACGATGCCATTTTCTCTAACAAAATATGTTTCATTGTTTTGGTAGATTTTTGTTCTTAAACATTGTTTTTTAATTTCTGGGTTCAAAAAAAACACCATTTTGGGCAATTCTCGTACATTTAGGATCGAAAACAGGTTATTTTCATAGTGTACTGCTTTTAATTTTAGAAGTTAAATTGCAATACCAATAGTTTTTTGAAACAAATTGTTCATTGACATGTTTTATAATCATAATATTTGGGAGCCGACCCTTTCCTCGCCTATGTGACGCTCGATCCTCAAAGATGCTATATTATATCGAGGTTTTATTACTTTTACTGATATTATAGGTTAGGAAAAATATATCAAAATTCAGTTCTGGCATAAACAGTGATATCGTAACCAGGATTACCCTTGGATCTATTGTCAAATTTAATATTCATATTAATACTTTCAGACTAAATTCCTTTCATTTCATTAAACAACTTAAAACTATTACATTAGATTCAAAGGATGTTCTGGTTAGTTTCGACGTAGAATCCTTCTTTATTAATGTCCCTATTCCTGAAACCTTCAACCGTATTTCAGATATATTAAAATCGAAGAATCTGGAACGAAAATTGAAAAACGCTTGTTTGAAACATATTTTTCTTGTAACGGTGAAATTTATGAACAAAAGCCCGGAACAGGGCATCTAAAATCAAAATTATGGAAACATTACGTTGTTATTTGGCCGCACGGTTAAGAATCTCTACGAAATTTTTTTAACCATTTAAACCTACACCCAAACATAGGTTTTACCATTGAATTGGAAATTGATAATAGTCTCCCATTCCTAGATATTCTTATCAATAGAAAATTAGACATAACATTGGGTCATTCTGTTTATAGAAACATGTATTTCACATCACTCCCAACTTTCTTATTTACAGAGCCGTAAAACTGTTTTAACCCGAGTCACTCAACCCAGAATCAAAACATCGTACATGCTCTTCTGTCTAATAATTTCCATATTAAAGATATTAAGCGTTCCATCACAAAATACACTTCACCACAACCTTCCCAAGATAATGTGTCCAAAAGCAACCCCACACTTCCCAATGTTGTGCTTCCTTACATTCAAAACATCACTGATTACATATCAAAAGTTCTTAAGAAATATAACGTTAAAACCAGATTTACCACTTGTCCAAAAATCTCTAAACGTCCTCGTTGTGTCAAAAGTAAAATTCCGTTTGAGATACCAAGTGCATTCCAAGCATATACGGCGACTGGACGAAAAATATCAACTCATCAGCAGTTGTCGAACACACTCACGAAACCGGACATCAAATTTTATTCGATAAAACTGAAATTCTTGCATGTAATCAATTCTTCTACCAAAGGAAACCCCTAAAATACATAGATATCTATAAGCAGTCAAATAACCTTAACAGGTAATCTGTCACCCATATGGGAATCAGTCATCCGAGACAATGTTTATGCCCCTCCTTATATACAGTGTGTATAAGATATATAAATACATGGCGATATTGCAACTGTCGCTTAAATAGAAAAAAATAGAGTATGTTTATGCCAAAAAATAATCTGGCTTTGTTTTATTTTAAATCGCTAACATACCATAGATACAAGCTGAAAAAAATGTCCATTTTGAAAAATCAGAATTAGGATACGGCATTGCTAACAATGACTTCAAAAAAAATTACTTACACTTTTGTTTTTCTTATGGACGCCATATTGAATTTCTACATTTTGAAAATCCTTTTTAAAAATGCTTTTCAACCATGTCTAACTCAATTTTGTTTTGCTAAGATAAAAATAACAAAAATAAAATTTCAGGATAATAGACTTTGATATCTCTGCGTTTATTTTCCATCATGTGCCAGCGGATCCCAGGTAATTTGCAATTGTTGTCAACAGCCAGTGTCAATTGTGTGAAGTTAATAATTTGTGAGTTTTAAAATATTACTTTACAAATAGTGATAAGTATGTCCGGGGTCGTAAAATAAATAATTATAATAATAAAATAGAAAGCCGGTGTGGGTTTGACATAAGGTGAGACTTCTTGGACATATTAAAAGAATACACACAACAATTGAAGATAAGTCCGTAGAACAGGTAATGCAATTTAAGTAGCTTGGGATGAACATGTCTAGCGAGCCAACAAAAGATCTAAGGGACCAAATCAACAAAGCATCCGCAACTTCAGGCTGCCTAAGAGAGATTGTCTAGGCCAACGGATACATGCGGAAGGACGGTAAGATTAAAATATACAAAACATGCGTTAAACCAATAATGACGTACGCGATAGAAACAAGAGAAGACACGAACAAAACAAAGAGAATGTTGCGCGTAGCATAGATGAGGATGCTGAGATCAAAAGCTGGCAAAACCAGAAGAGACTACGTAAGAAACACTGACATAAGAGAACAATGTGACGTACAGGATATTGTAAGATGGGGAAGGCAGAGAAGAAGGAAATGGTATAACCACGTCAAGAAGACGGGCGAAGATAGATTAGCCCGCATAGCTCTCGAGGGAATACCAGTAGGAAGTCGTCCGCCCGGTAGACCGCCGAAGAGGTGGAGAGACAGCTGGCAGTCCACATCCCAAGAATTAATACAACAGCAAGCCCGGAATTAACAGATCATTTGATCTCAACCAAGTAGAAGAAGAAGAAGACACACAACACAGTGCTTAATACAGACGAATAATTTAATCACTTCCGCGACTTGCTAAATCAATCACAAAATAGGTAATCAAAATCCAACCTGACCACTGCTTCTATAAACCAGACTAAGCTTGCCTGATCCTTCGGAAAATTACCAAAATGGGTTCCCAAAAGTCCACAATATTACGAATGACAGAATTAGGCCAGACCGATAAATAATACGAGTCAAAAATAAACATTCCAAACATCCAAAACGCAATATGAAAGAGTATCGACCACTTAAAGCTAAGAGCGCCGACAAGTATGATATGTTGGAGTGTTTTATTCTCGGTAATAGAAACGAAGCAAAAGCCGAAGAAATGTATTGAAATAAATATTCGGAAAGACGTCAACCGAGTAGAGCTATGTTTAGACGTCTGAAAGGCAACCTTGTCACCTAAAAATAAAGAAAATTTGGTCTTTCAAATCGTACATCTTTACGCCAGATTGAAGAGACAACAGCGTAAACGGCCTTGCCAAGGACTTTAGGATGGTGATAATGTTGTGCCACTGGTTTATTCAGAAAAATAACGAGATACAATACTTTTTCTTAAAGGTCCTTTGGTCGAATGAGTGTCCATTTAGTAATTGTGGACTTTTTAATCGGAAGAACACTGTATTATAGGCAGATATAAATCCACGGCTAGCTCGTGAAGCTAGGCATCAAGTGAGGTGGGGATTTAAGGTTTGGATTGGTATTGTGGGAATCCCCAAATTTGGACCATGTATTTTCGATGATAACTTACATGAGCAATATTTAAACCTTGCACAAGCAAAGGTAATAGAAGATCTTATGAACCTTGCACTAGCGGTTCTGCAATAAGTGTTTTTCCAACAAGATGGCGCACCGTCACACAACACACAGCTTATTACGAACCTTTTAAATGCATAATTTCCCAACAGGTGGATAGGCATCCTGGGACTAGTCAGAGAGATCCTTACATATAACACCCCTTGATCTCTTTGTATGGCATCACCTCAAAAAACAAGAATACAGTAGCTCCTATGGAGAATTAAGACAAGCTGTTACACAATCTGCTAACAGTATCAATCCGCAAAAATTAACACAGTCCGGTGAAGCAGTGTTGAGAAGATGTGACTTGAACATTTACTCCAGTTTCATTATAAAATGCTGTGAATTTTCTTCGTTTTTGCGTTAAAGAAGTAAATAACCTTTAAAGATACGATTTTTACTGACTTTCTTGTCCACTCATTATTTAATTGCAATATCAAAGGCTCCTACTACCCTGAAATCTTATTTTTGTTAATTTTCCGGATTTATTTTGAGAGAACATAAATATGTTATACAAGGTTGACAAGCATTTTTAAAGAGGATTGTGAAAATGCAGAAATCAATATGGCGCCCATAACACCATCGGCAGTACGCAACATAGCAGGCCTAAAATCGCCGTATCCTTTTATCCATTTCCTGAAAATGTGAACATTTCTCCTATAATATGGAAAATATTGTGGTTTTTCACCCTATATTTACGTAACGGTATTGATTTAAAATGATCCAAAGCTAGATTATTTTTTGTCATAATCATATGCTATTTTTTTCCATTTAAGCGACGCCGTATGTACATTATTTTACATTATTTTACATTTACATTATTACATTTTTTTTTTATATTTCTTAAGAACTTTTGATACGTAATCAGCGATGTTTTGAATGTAAGGGAGAATAACATTAGTAAGTGTGGGGTTGGTTTCAGACTCATTTTCTTTGGAAGGTTGTGGTGAAGTGTATTTTGTGATGGAACGCTTAATATCTTTAATATGGAATATGGAAAAGTTTCAGGAATAGGGACTTTAGTAAAAAGGGATTCTACGTCGAAACTAACCAGAATGACATAAAAGGAATTAAGCAAGAATCTATTAAAATTAATATTGAAGCTAGATACTTTGTCAGAGAATATGTTGGAGAATCAATGGTGCTGACAATAGGTCCGAGAGTAACCCTGGTTAGTTTGACGAAAATACGATCTGTCTGTAGGAATATCTGAAAGTTTTTTCTGGAAGTAATTTGTGTTGATGTGATTTTGATGCGCTGTGCTGTAATTTTTGAACAATATGTTCAGGCTTTGAAATATTAGATTTAGGAGATGTGATTTCTTAAAAGATTTTTGAGGTTTCAAATCGAATTTCATTAGCTATTTGAGATGGCAGTTTGTTGATGATAACAACATGGAACTGCTACTCTTCTTAGGCCTGATTGATTTAGATTGTTTGTATCGCCGATAGAGGGCGTTTTGTGACATCACAAATAACCTACAATAGCTGTAAAAGTAATAAAAACTAGATATAATATCGCAACTTTGGGAATCGAGCGTCACATGGGCAACGAAAGGGTGAACTTCCAATTTGTTTCAAAAAATCCGAAAAGCATATTCCATAATTGACGCCGATAAATTTTCCACAGGCCTGGCCCACGGCCCTGTGATAGCGGGGGTGGTGGGAGCACAAAAACCCCAATACGACATTTGGGGAAACACCGTGAATGTGGCGTCCAGGATGGACTCTTGCGGCATCATGGGACGCATCCAAGTGACAGAAGACACCGCGCAGATACTCATGAACGTCGGCTACGAGTGCGAATGTCGCGGTCCGACCTTCGTCAAGGGCAAAGGGACGTTGACGACGTACTTTGTCAAAACGCCGTTCGACGATAAGTAAATCATTGTGATAAAGTCCATTTGAAAAAAGTTTGCGGCTATTCGATGGCTTAGTTCGTTGTAAAATTAGTTTGTTGCCGAAGGCAAGCTTTCAATTTGGGAATTTACCGGTAAGATTGTTATCGGTCGGCACTGCTCGATGTTTGTAAATGGGCAAGAACGTGTCCGCCGAAGTTCAAATAGATGATGCGGACTTAAAAGTTATACCTGTTTAATTAAACTTTGGAATAATATTGCATTTGAGGTCCGTGAGTGCAAAACTTAAAAATCCTAAGAGATTGTCAAACTCCAATTGTATTTCTTCGTTCGGGCAGATGTATCACTGATCTTTATCAAGTGCAGACTAATTTTAATTCTAAGGCTAGTAGACTACTGCATTCAATAGTGACGGAGTTGGGTGCTGTCAAGCGTGAGGTTGTTCCGCTAGGACGCTCTAATAAGGGTTGCCAAATTGTAGGTATTTCCACGCTTCGATTGCCAAAACTATATCCATTGTTTTTCGATTCGATGCGATTCCCTGTGGACAATACTAGCATACTCATTGTGTGTTTCCTATGTCCTTTAACTCAAACGTTTAAAGGTCTTTTTGCTTCTCCAATATATGACTCTCCACATTCACAGGGCACTGGTTAGATACACTCATTCTCTTGAGTAGACGTTTCTGGCTTTGTTCTTGTAAGTATGGGTATCTAGCTCACATCCTACTGCTGTTTCATTCATATTACAATTTGATAATGTTTTGTCAATAAATTTTTGTGTAGCTATTATGAAGTCAATCGTTAATAATACTGCTTAATTCTATATCTAGTGATGCCAATGCATATTGTTATTGTTGTTTTGCACAGTCTTTGGATTATTCCTAGTTTTGTTTCTTCAGAATGGTTAAATACTGTCCCGTATGTGTAGAACCATTATTTCAAGGAAGTTATGAGAGGAAGTTGCTCAAATTTAAAAAACAACTGTCTGAAAGAACAACAAAGAGATGAAATGTATAATAATCTATGCTCAAGGAACCTTTCCAATACTGAACAACAAATATTTAGCAAAGGACTTAACTTCCCCCGTGTCCCTAGAAAGATGCCAGTGTTAAATATTATATGTTCCGTTGAGACGTTGCAACTGGAAGGACCGGAAGTAAATGAACTGCTGTCCAAGGTTAGAACTGTTTTGGAGAATACGGCCAAAGAGTAACAAGCAGCCATCAAATACAATCTACAGGCACCATGGACATTCAAGAATACGGCCACAATATTGAGGAGACACTTACTAAAGGCTACTTTTTAGTAACCCTACTAGGACGATTGAAGGATTCTTCCTTCGAGCACTGCATAAATACTGACGGATAATATTAGAACTTCGTTAACTCCCCATCATACTAAGCCACCGCATCTTTATGGACTTCCAAAAATCCACAAAGTGGTTCGCGGGATTCCGTAACTAGATTTCTCCTTCAAATCATCCAGCCAGTTGCTAGAGAAACTCCTCCATTTGTAAAGGACTCCGGGCATTTTGTATATATATATTAAAAAATGTAGCTTTGACGTGAAAAATTAATACACCAATGTGCTCTTGGAGGAATCGTTAGACATTGTGAAGGCCAGACTGAGAAACGATATGTCACTTCCAGGCAGAACTTCGGTGCCGCTGGTGCAGCAATCACTAAACCTAGGGTCTGGCTTCAATATATTGACGATGAGAATAGAACCGATTCTCAATCAGCTTAATTCTTTGCAACAGTCCAAGAAATTTATTGTTGAGAAAGAGAAGAGCGGCTGTCTATCGATTCTAGATGTCCTAGTAAATAGGTATAATGGTTCTATCAGCACCTTTGCATATAGGAAACCTACCGGACAGTATTGAAATTTCGAGTCAATCATTCTGATGCCACCAATGCCAGGAATCATCCAAACAGCCTGCAAAAGAGCATATGTAGTGACGAAGCATCACTCGATGTAGAATTATGCAGTATTAAAAAGGATTTGCTTCATAATGGCTATACTCATTGACAAAACATTATCAAATTGTAAATGGAAAGCAACAGCAGGACGATACCACCCGTGAAGAGAATCTCAGTCAAGATCGTTCGAATAGCAAAACAATACAAAGTTACGATTGTATGTATTCAAGTGCGGGACGACAGTAGAACTTCAAGATGGAAAATGCCTACAAGCGAAACAACCGGACGCACCCAACTCTGTAGTTTAGTATATAAGCCTCGTAGCCTTATAATTAAAATTAGTCTGCACTTGACAACGGCTAATGATATATCTGTCCGAAACGTTGTGTAAACAAGAAATGAAGACAATCTCTTAGTATTTCTACTGAATCATTGTCTACCACCTGCAAATGTAACTCTTAAATTAGTACCAACAAAAGGACAGCCGTCAACGCTTGGCGATTTACTCTTCGTTCTACATTTATATAGGGTGTTACTCAAAGACATGTACGAAATTTAATGGCTTATTCCTGAACTAATTTCACGTTAAAAACTAGAAAATGTCTGGATGTTGCTTTTTTATGTAACAATAATAAAAAAGGTTTATTTGCGGAAGATAGAATAAATTGCTACATATCAATTACGGGAGTCAATTCATATCCGCAGATTGGGGCTGAGGATAAATCAAATTTGATTAAAGTTCAGCCCCAAAAATATCGGTATTAGATGAAAACGCTATCCACACATATTATATATATTATTTTAAGATTACATCAAACAATTTTTGATAATGCACATATGCAAAGCGAATAACATAAAAGCAGAAATTATGAGGTAAAAGGTAACGAGTAAGGAGACTAATAGCATAAGCAAGTTTTAATTTGTCCACGGCAATGGTTAAATGGGAAAAGTTTTAGATGAAACTTAGTGGCTTTGATAACTGGCTTCAAATTTACCATCGACCAATTGTTTTGGCAAATATCTGCGAAAAACCGCAAATGGCGGATTTCATTTTTTGCCAGTAATTCCAAAACTGTCAAAATGGAACATTATTCAGATACTTTTTAAGACGAGGGAGATAGCGTGTATGACATATCTCAATCGTCTTTTGTTATCTCTTAAATTTTATCACACTTCGTATAGTTAGTTCTTAATTATTTTGTTGGTAGGCAATGATGTATTTAACATTAACATTAATAAGTAACATCTAACACATCTAAAGGGCGACTTCTCAACAAGTCAAATATTTAGAGCAAATTACCAACCATGTGCTTTTTAAAAAGAAAAAGTCAGAAAAGTCTTCGCTAATGCAATTGACACTTGAAGAACCTATAAGTTCGATAAAAATTAAAAAAGAAAATCGCGACAGAAACAATTTACAAGTAATGTAATTTATTAATTTATTTACACAATTATACAGATTTGAAAAATGACGTCTATTTGCATCGAGACGTTTTTGACAATTGGTGAGTATTTTTCGTACAAAGGTATTTCCGTTAATGTTTCTTAATGTGTGTAAAACTCTTTGTCTCAAGGTTCCTATAATGTCGAGTCGTCATTTTTTGTGTGACCCCAGAAGAAAAAATCCGAGGGCTAAAGGTCCGGGGATCTACGAGGACCTTAAAGACGTTAAAGTCTGCTTAAATGGAAAAAAGGTGACAAATGAATCATGGCCTACTTGCAAAATAAAATTAGACCCAACTTTACGAAGTGGGATAAAATCTTTTGTGCCCTTGTGAGACATCGCTGAACTGGGAATTTTAGGCTTTTTCCAAAAATCGAAAAATCCATTATGGCGACAATAAGGAAAGGAAAAGATAAGGCGGGTTGCGTGATAACAAAAGACGATTGAGACATGTCATACACTCTATCTTGTCTAAATAATATCTCATTTTGACAACTATCAATCCAAATCCGTTAAGGATTTACTGCTGAAAAACGAAATCCGCCATTTTCCAAAACTAATTGACTGATCTTAAATCTGAAGACGGTTATAAAATGCACTAAGTTTCATCTAAAACCTTTTAACCTTTGCTGCAGGTTAGCGTAAGTAAGCGAAGCTGGGAGACATTGTATATTGAATAATGTAATATGAAAACAATCATTCAAAAACGGTATAGTGAGATATAACCATGAAACGTTAAATAACCATGAAACCTTAAATTCAGATGATGAACAATTTAGTAATACTTGAACTTATTATGAAATAATACTGCAGAGTATAATTTATGTCGGTTTTCAATAGGTAACCATCTAGTTTTCTGTAATTTGTATGATACCGACATACCATTGACAAAGACAAAATTGATTTTAATTTCCATGAAAATACCTTCCGGCTAACAAATAAAAATTTCATATTCTCTTGTATTTTTTGTATGTATTTGTGCAATCCTAAATTTGTTTGTGCAGCTAATTACTTCATGCACAATTTGCACAATTTAACCAGCCAGTGTTTATTTTTTATCAAAAAAAATAATAATTCGTATATTAATAAAACTTTATTCACTGCAGTTAACAGTTAAGGCAGCATAATATAAAATATACATAAAAAGCAATACAACAGGAAAAAGATGCAAGCCAGCAAATAGGATGAACCTTGAAAACCAGACGTTTCAAGCACATGGTTACATGACCCTAAAAATTGGTCCAGGAGTACACTTTGAAGTTTTGAACATACATTCAAGTAACTCACTAATGAGAGATAAGTTATAATCCATTAGTCTTGCGTTATAGAAACCATAAACAAATGAAAGTCTAATTTAATGATAACATTTTCATTGCAAAACCAATTAGACACAGTAATTCATTAATAAATATATTAAAATTATGACTACAATCGAAAAAATCACCACCTGAAACTGGTACACCATATTTCACGCATTTTCCCAAAGATTTAATGTATTTCAAATTACACATGTTTCACAGGTTTCATAGGTTTTCAAGTACTTTTTGTAAACTTCATTTTATAAAATACCACGAGTTATCTCAGTGTCATAATTTTTTTTATTTAGAAAACCTATTTACTTTAGATGTAAAATACATAACAAAAACTTATATACATCACACAAAAATTATCGTATCATATACAGGGTATCAACGGGATGATATAGCAAACATAACTAACATAAAATTGGAAAATTCAGGTGTTTTAAATAAAACGTACACGTACTTTTATTGATGGAAAAGGGCACGTTTAAGATATTTAGGAAAGACTCTTGATAATTATTAATATATGTTCATGAAAAAACTACAATGAAAGCCGAATATTATCTTCAATTATTAGGTTGAGTGAATACTCCAAACAATCTAAATTAAAGTTCCCACCAGTAAAGTTCATTTAATTTAAAAATAGTATTTGCTAAAATTGCTTACGGTGCAGCCAACTGTTGCAGCTGTGGACGCCAAACTACAAACAGCTTAAAAATATTTATTTTATAATTACATCTTCCCTTTTTTTATTTGTTTATTATTTATATTAATTAATGGACAGAACTCAAAACTCCAAGGAAACACGTTACGATTTTACAAGCATTTCACGGATTCATTTTTAAAGATGATCGACGTCAAAAGATGCATGTCAATGCATTTTTTTTATATCTCTCTTGAAACCAACAATTTCATTTAAATTTGTTTCCTCGAATAAAAGAACGGCGAGAAAGGCGTATTTCGATTTGAACAGCATATTCGTGCCAAATAATTCGCTGAACTCATCCTCACCCCTATATCTTATAATAAATTACGTGTCAAGGAAATTAATTCGAGGATATCGAATATTTCAAAATGGTTGCGTATATCATAATTAGGAACAATTATCAAAAATAATATTTGCTAAAAAAAATAATTTTTAAAACACAGTTGCATCTAATTTAAGGCCTAAATCCGAAAGTCTAAGAGATAAAACAATAGATATTTTGTTAATGTGTGGTAAAATGTACTTAACTCGCTTTTATAGAAACTAGATGCATATTGTACATATGAAATCATAAATGTATTTTAAGAAATCAAAGCATTATATTTTACCGAACATTCCCTTTCAAATTAAGGAAGAAATAGTATATTTCCCTGTCCGACAATCTATACAATTTTCTGAATTCGAATTTAGCCTAGATACCTAATATTTGTTAAATCATTATGTATAGTTCAGAGAATGTTTAAAATAAAGACTTTATTTGGTTAAAATGTGTTTTATTTTTTACAGGACATTGTCACCACTATTACAACGTCAAACAGACCGATAACAAGTATTTCCAACTGATTTCACACAACCATATAATTTCCAATTTCACACAAAATTTCACGTGTTCTACAAAGATTTCACATATTTCTCAATAGTTTTCAGGACCTCACCTATTTTAAAAAATAATTTTCAGGTTATCTGGAAAATTGTTGTATTCCGTCGCAATTAAAAAACTATAAAGTGAAGATAATATATGAAAAAAATACATTTTTACACAACTAATATAATAATAATAAATAATTTCTTGGGAAGACCTAGTCGTTTATTATTATGTGCGATAAACCATCAAAAAGTAACATTCAAGTCGGAAACAGATCCCCAACTCATCCAACTCCAGCGAAAGTATTGTCGTCTTTTATTATTTGTAGCTTTAGGACCAAGTCAAAACATTTTTTTGTTAAAGTCATTAGTCATTTTATAAAACTGATTTAAGAAGTCAAATACGGATTCGCATTCCTTTAGCAACTTAAATCTAGCATCTACATATCCCGTGGAGTACGTGGATTGTGTAAAACAGATCTACTCTAAGACTCACTCGAAATTTGCGCCTGTTGCTCTATGACAACGATTAAAAACAAACGAAAAGGAGCCGCCACCGAGTGTGAAATCTGACTAATAACTAGTAAGTAAATGTTTTAAAACTACAAGCGCCATCTTTTCTAGATCCTCGGAAACCCGAATATATTAATTTCTCACGTCCTTGCGTAGATGCCGCTAGGCGCGAGATCACACTGGCGTGTAGAGATTTTGACCACAGTTCATAGATTCGTTGGTAAGCGTAAGTAGATTTTTGTTATAATAAATAGGTCATGTATTGACGTTCTAATAACAACGCCTAGATGAGGCCATAAGCATACCGCCGTCACTTTCAGATTTTAGTTGTGGAATGTAGGTCAATCATAGTTTGTACGTCGTTATGATTCCAAACACATCAGACAAATGTCACAGATTTGAATTGTGGTACTTGGGTTATTTGTGGAGATTCCTATTTTAAACCATATTTTTCTACTCCCCTCTGTAAAATACCTAATTAAGCACCGATCTAGCGTGCGGGAAGCGTAGCCTTACCACATCAGTTTCGTTTTCCACGAATCCGTGGCAGTTCGGACATTTCCGAGATTTTACCGCACGAGTTTGGGAAGAATCGGATATTTTCGGAGATATTTCCCACGTTTTAATTTTGACGTTTGTCAATTCTGACAGTCATACCAGTGAATGTATTCGTGTTTTGCGAAAATGTACCCAAAAACTAACGGTCGTAGAAATAGTATAGTATGCAACACGTTCGGTAAACTTTTTAACTCACTCGTTTATTAAACACTCGCTCCGCTCGTGTCAAATAAACGCGTGAGTCAAATACCGTTTACCGCACTTGTTGCATAATACACCAATTAGAGACACTAGCGATATTTGACTAGATCCCCACATCTTTTACACTGCGATATTAATTTTTTTTTATTGTATTATTTCAGAAAATTGAAGTCACTGGGCATAATATTGTATTTTTAATATATTATTATTATTATATACTAGTACTGTGTCCTCTAAAACTTTGTACAATTCCCAAACATTTATCCGTCTGTTTTACTTATAAACTTGTGCATTTTTACCGTATTTAAAGTGTAATGTGAAAATTAGAGTTTTGTAGAAGGCGAATCTTTATTAAATGCACACCATGTAATTTTAATTGGATCTACTGCAGAACCGATAGCTTAAAGTACATTTTTTCAGTATGCCTTCAATGTAGCAAAATTAAAAGCTATTTGTGATTTAATATTTCGTGACTAATATCAATCAACAGAGCACTAGTTACTAGTTAGTTACTTGCTTAGTTAGTTAATAATTAAATATTAGTACCTAATTGTGCTTAATTAATTAATAATCAATTTAGAATGATATGGCGAAACTGAAAGTTTTATGCAGTTTATCTTGCAATAACTAAAACTGACCAAATAAATTTATAAAAATTTCTATGCAGCACAATTCAATGAAGGGATAGGATTTCTTAAGCATGTAGAATTTTTTCTACGGCATTTTCCTTATTTCGTTGTTTTCCTTTTATTTTATTGTTAGACAATTGGTCGAGTTACAGAAATATTCATATGTATTAACGGATTTTACGTTTAAATTCGACACTAGAATTTGGCCCCTTTGGCCATGGGCGTTACATAGGAAGATTAAATTATTTTACCATTAATGGTGTAGTTTGGGTACATAACTAATTAATCAATCAATCAATCAAATCGTTGGTTGATGGTTATAAAATGTCACGAATTTCCATCGGTCGGTCAGGACTGACAAACACAAAGTAACTTGCCATTTTTTGTTTACTGTGCTTATGATTCACTTTAGCTTCCTAAACCATGTGCATAGAAACTATTTTATCTGTGATTTTACCTGTCTTCGTAATTCCGTAGTCTATGTGTAACTAACCATCTGTCCCTTGTGAAAGTGTGATTATTATTTTGATTAAAAATTTTAAAATTTAATTACTGGCAGACTTATTCCTCTAAACACCCAAATCAAAGTCTTAGTTTGGGAAACCTGGCGTTGACAGAAATTTCTTTGTCAATTTGACTTCCGTAACATTGAGCTGACGTGAAGGTTAGTATATTATTCTTTCAATTTCCTAAAATGTAATGCTTAGTAACATCTCTATTTATATCTTTCGTTGTAGTAATGTCACGATACACATTACATTGGAAAAATTATAATTGTTACTTATCACCCTCAAATACATAAAATGTGAAATGATTTTAGAATAATGGCTGTCAAGCAAAAAGTTGTGGGGTATGTGGCGCCTTCAACAGAAGCGCGCCTACAAATTATTCTCAGAGTTCTACAAGATACGCAACTCCGAGATGGTAATAGAAATAATAAGTATGCCCAAATTGTTATGGCTTTGGGGACCGTCACAGTACCAAATGATCCTGCGACATACATGAAATTTATAGAAGACATCAAAAGTGTCCAGAGCATTCTAGTAAAAGAGTGTGCAAATATGGAAGTGATATTTGTAACACTTAAAGCTTTATATGATGAAATTTGTAATCCAACAAAAAGCCCATCGCCCGTGATGTCTATTGTATTGCAATTAATTGATTTGGATTCAATGCCAGGTTAGAACAATGTTTAAATATTTCTTTTGCTTTCCGACGAGGGTACTAAAGCAGGTATTTTTATTTAATAGGTGCTGTTAAATATATTATGAACTCTGGTTATCCTGAAAAAAACCTTGAAAGAGCTCTCTACACTTTATGTATTTGGCTAACAAAATGGACTTGGACTGAAAATCTTGGTCCATTGGTACTTTGCTATATGAAAGGTCTTGAGGCGGAACATCATTACGATATTTTGGTGGAGGTCACCTTGGCAACTATTGAGCCCCTTTTTAAACTCTTAATCTTGCCATCCAGCAGGAAATGTGTATCACCTGTGATTCATTATATGCTAACGCGAATGCAAAATAATCCCCAAGCATTTCACAAAGTGATACCTTATATTCCTAAGCTAGTTGAAATTCTTGAGAAAGAGGATACAGGTCGCGCATATTTACAGCAACTCGTCAGTCTATTTGTGGCCTTAATTGATTTATTTCCTGGTCATGAGGATTTGTATGAACCCCTACAGAGGATACTTCATCCTTATTGTGTAGGAATACCATACAAAAAGGGAATCAATTGCCAGCCATGGTCTGATGGTGTTAATATATCTCTTTCAACCAGGTCAATTAGTAAAGTGGGACTCAACAATCTAGGAAACACATGCTACATGAACAGCATCTTGCAGGCTTTATTTATGACAAAAACTTTCAGAAACAAAATTCTGCTTAATAGTCGTCCCATGATGCCACTGACATCAAAACTGCAAATTTTGTTTGCCCTCATGCAACATTCTAAAAGATTCGCTATTTCACCAAAAGATATTTTGCTGCTTTTGAGACCTCCGGGTTTTGTAGTGGGTCACCAGCATGATAGTTCGGAATGTTTAGGATACCTTTTGGATACTTTGCATGAACAAGAAAAGGGTGTCCCTGCAAGTGATATAACTGTGGCGGGTAAGCTCCTCTCCAGCCTCAATTAAATGCAAATAATGAGGATGTTGTATTTATATAGATGAAAAATTGGATCAGCCTGCAACAACTGTGACTGTTGTGCAGCAATCTTTTGGCGGGAAAACAATGACCGTGTCAAGATGCGCCAGATGTGGCACCAAGAGCGAGAATGTTGATAATTTTAGAGATCTACAACTCTCTATTCCGAATGGAGATGAGAACCAGTCAGTACAAAATTTATTGGATTATTTTCTTCAACCTGAAAAACTCTGTGGCGACAATCAGTATAGATGTGATCTATGCAACTGTTTAACTGGTAAGAACATGGAACTTTTTTTTTATTTCAATGTCGATTAATCTTAGATAATTGATAATCATACCACATTAACCAAAGGTCAAGCAAAACACTTAAAATAAATATGTATAAAAAGAAACTTGCATATAAAAATGAGTTTTTGCACTTGAATGGGTCACTATAATTAATGATACATTCTAATTGAAAGAAAGAAAACCCAGGCTGATTTTACAACAGTCAAATAAGTCGTTTTAAATTTTTAAATTATTTTTTATTTAATTATTTATTTTATTTTATTAATTAATTATTTTTATGTATTTTAATTATTTCTCCTGTGGAAAAATGGAATAATTAACCGAACAAATTGAAATTTTTTATGCGTGTGCATTTTTCAATTTGTGGTGTGATTTAAAAAACAAAAAAAAGTAGTTATTAAAACAGGAACATGCCAAATAAAAGTATGCTATTTTATTAGCAAGTTATGCTCAAGTTTCAATCTAAATTCTTTCATATTGGAGGTGTTGATCTGTATTTATGCACAGGATTTGCCAAAAAAGTTCCTAGGAGAGCATATCCTATTTGAAGATATAGAAAGTTTTCGACTACCTACGACTAGAATTTTTTGAAAAAGTTACGCTAGAGGGCGTATGGTTTTATACAAATCTTAGTTGCAAAGGTCTGTTCTCCTATAATAGTTATCTGGTTTCCCTGGTTCTTCTGTAGGCTCGTTTTAATTTTTCTTTAAAATTCGTCTTTTGTCTTTGTCTTTTATCCTCGAGAGTTCTTGTAAAGCATCCATGGTCAGTTCAGATTACACTGCAGCTTTTTATAACAAAGAAAAAGTACAACTTTGCAAACGATTTTCAAAGAACCAAACATACCAAAAATTTTATGCTTCATTAACGGATGAAGCGGACGTTTATCTTCAAGAAAAAATGGATGTAATTGACGAATTCACTTTGTTTGTTAAAAAATTCTCTGCCAAAGAAGATAATGAAAATTTTCTAAAAAAAAAGTTAGAAGTTTTGATTCAAGCTTTATATCACCCTGCTGGTCAAAAAGTTTTACTTGCTATTTATGTCAACTCAATGTGTTTACATGCAACTAATATTCATTGCGAAAAATTGAACCCTGACAATTATGGGGGGAGCTTTTAAAAATAGATGATACAACAATGATACTATATTATAGATATTGTTTAATAGAGAATTTTTCATTTTTTGCTAGATATGGATTAATACTTTTTTTTTAACGAATATGTTATTCTTTTATTTATTTTAAAGCTTTTGTCTTTACTACTTTTATCTATGCCAAGTTTTTCAAAAGATACTTTATTACAATTTATTAAAAAATCCTCTTATCTACTCCAAAACACTGCTCTATAGTAAATTAATTATATCCTAGCATTGTATCCTTTTCTATGACGAGAAGTAAGTATGTGCACTCTTATTTTATTGATAAGTTATTATTTTTATCTGATTGACACTATGGTGAAGCTGTAATATTTTACATTTACAAAGGGTACCCATAGGAATCCTTTTATTGTTATGTTGGCGCCCTTAGTTTTAAGTGGTTCATACTTCTTAATATTTTATTATTATTTATTTTACGATCTCTTTTTACTGTGCACAAAGTCTTATCTTAATTGCTGCGACTGTAAGTTATTTAGGTGCCGGCCATGGGAAAACTTTGTTGTTATTTTTGACCACTTTGAAACTTTTCTTAAGAGCACTTGCGTTATATGAAACACCATTTTAATTAATTTAGGAATGCCCCGTTTATTGTTTGTGATTAGCCAACCTATGGATTGGTTAAATTTTCTCAGATGGCGAACGAATCACAAAAATTGTGGAAGCGCCGGCGCGCCTGGTGCTCACTCTGAAACACTTTCGATACGACGCCGCGTCCCACACAAGGACCAAGCTACTCCAGAGGGTCAAACTGGACAACCAGATCTGCTTGGACGGTGCACAATTCGACTTGTACGCCGCCGTGGTGCACTACGGCACGAGCGTCGATTGCGGCCATTACTACACTTTCGCGAAAGACGACGCCGAATGGTACAAGTTCAACGACTGTTCCGTGACCAAGACCTCGGAAGAGGATCTGCACTGTCTAAAACCGCCTGAAACTCCCTACATACTATTCTACAACAGGGAAGACGTGACAGAACCGAATAATTTGCCCTGCGGTTCACTCTCGCCCGCCTTGCAATCGATCCTCGCCAAAGACCATTCCGAATTGGAGCAGGAAACGAAAAGATCGAGCGTCAACAGGACGTACGCCAGGAAACAGAACAGGAACGATCAACCACCTCCGCCCGGTTGCGGCGGCGGCGGGTCCAATTCCACCGCCGGCAACATGTTCGTATGCTAGTTTTCGGATTTCGATTTCGTTATTTATTAAAGTCCCGGTGCGATAAGTGGTATCCGCGAGCTGGATCCTCACAGAAATTGCCGTGGGAGCGGATCAGATCTCGTTTGTTATCTTTTTTTTTAAATATATATCTGTGTGCTTTAAATAAAGTCCTGAAGGAAGGCGGAGATCAATTAAGTGCTTTAAATACAGACGACGGTTATTAGTTGACTAAATGGACCTAGACCTACACCACTCATCGAAGACCTCATTCATAGGCAACAGTCTTGCGCCCCCTATCAGGTGTGAAACAAAATAAGAATTTGATTTTATTTATTTTTTAAATTTATTAATTGGTTTTTCTGAATATCTGATGTATGAATATTAAACAAAACAGTTTCAATGTTAACTAATTAATTAAGAAGTATTGCTTCCTTTACTTCTTATTAATCCATTCCTACTCTCAGATGATTTATCCGATCGTGAAGGCATTAAGGTCCTGACTGTTTATTGGCTCTTGATGTTGTATAGTGTACAACTCTGGCGACAATTAAAGACGTGTTCCATGAGATTCAGGTCTGGTGAAAAAGGCAGCCACTTCACATAATCGTCGCTCATCTAAACGGCATTAACTCTGTGAATGAAAATAAAATTGTCGGGGACTTCTTATCTATATATTATAACATTGTTCACCTAAGAATTTCCATTCACTGTTTGCGAGCAATGAAGAAAAGTTGTTTTGACCATATTATTATATTATGTTGTTATTAGAACAGGGTGATTGTATTTTCGTGAACAATCAGAACTCTCTATGCAAATTCCACATTTTGAATCTTATGTCAAAGTGACATTTGCATATTCAAATAGAGCAATCGATTTCTTCCACTGAAAGTCATTGTTATATATTTGAGATTGATTTTTTGATGTTCTAAAAATAAATATACACATAGCGATTAAAAAATAACATTAAACATTTTAAATTAAAACTTTTTTTCAAATGGAAACACCTCGTTTTTATAATTTTATCGTATTAAGCATTCAAAGATTTCTTTGTATAACGTTTCCTAAGTTGTAGATTTCGGCATAAAACATTGCCAAAAAAAAACTGAGCGCTACAGAATGTCACTATTTTGGCTTACTGTAAAGGGGGACACTTTTTTTGGATCCCCACTTAGTAATTTTCTACTGTTATTATTGCTATTTTAATACAAAAAAAATGTCTCGGGTCTATGCAAGGTTTAAAAAGAACTAATGAAGAAAATACTAATAGTAAATAAAACGTAAACATAAAAAAAACATTCATACTCTCTGCGCCTTTTCAGCAAATGTCAAAAAGTTTTTAACTCAATTTGCTTGAATTCTACGAAATGAAACATTTAAATAATTGTATTAATCGCTTATTTATCTTGAATGAATGTTAAGATTCATAAAAAAATAAGTGATATTTCTATCATGCTTCTTGGTAAAGTAATATCATAGCATTTTTACAATGAAAAAACGTTTTATTGCTAATGTTTTGAAATCTACAACTTTCAAAAATATTCTACCTTTTACAAAGACACCCTTTTTTTAAATGCTAAAATTATGAAGCTTGGTTGTTTTATTTGAAAAAAAGCCAATGATTTTTTATTTAATTTTTTAATATTTCTTTTTGATCACCCTGGATTATTTACAATTTACCCAAACAACTCTTGTCTCTAAATTTGAGATATGGTGTCCTCCCATAGTAAACAAAGCATTCCCTTGATATGGAAGGACTTAAAGATTTGTCTTTAATAAATGTTCTCTTGCTGGTTCCAGATAGTCGTCACATAATTTGACTTTTGTCTTATCAGTACAAAAAATGCATCTCCACTGAGGTACTAGCCAGTCATGATGCTGTCTAAACCATTCTAACTTTACCTTTAATGAAAGTATAATGATGGTATCCCAACAAGAGACATTTTTTAAACTGTTTAATTTGTATGGCAAAACTTTGCTAAAATCATGTGAAACAACTGAAAATGTCTGTTGTTTCTGTGTTCTATTCAGTACTTAAAAAATACATTCATATAGCTATAGCCCTGGATATAGAAATAATCATGGGTGCAAGACTTTTGCCAGTGACGCTAGTTCAAGTCAGATTATTTGTGTTCCAAACCATATGCTTTTGCGCAGCTAACATCTTAAAGCCTTATTTTCAAGTTGCTGCACCTTTGGCCGTTGCTGCAATTTGTTGCAGGACCATTGACACACTGATATTCTCAAATGCCACTAACCGAAAAATAAGCTAACTCGATTCTGAGTTGATTGTCCTGTCAAAATAGAACTCGTAACTTTTCGGAATTCTTAAAAATTAATTTTTCTAACCTTAGTTTCTAATACCTCCAAGGTCTACACAAATCTCGCGAGTCTATGATCGAAATGGCAAAAAGTTTCAATTGATGCAAATCGAACTAAATCTATATATTCGATGCTCTGGACTTGCGTCCAAAACTATTTTTTTAATTTTTAACATTTCAATGGAAATCTAGGTCTGTTCAGTCGTGTTTCAGGTACTTATCAACCGGTGTGGTTAGTCTCGAACACGTTTCAGGGTCTAGTCTGTCGTCGTGCGAATGTTAAACGTAACTTGGGGTTTAACACGGACAATTTTTGCAAAAAAAATCTCTAAAAAATTCTGAACGGGTAATCAAAACTTGTGTATCAATTTCTATAGTATGTACAGATTATCTGCAAAAATACAAAAAAATATTTGGTCAAGGTCAGAGTTTTTTAATTTTATTTTTGTTTAATTTAAATTTTATAACTTCTTTTATACTGAGTGGTAAACTAGATGCAAATTACGGCACAGCAAAATATCTGAAAAGCTGCTGCGTACAAATGGTTTATTGTCCAGTATGTTAAAATTTACATTCGATAGGAACGTAGCTTTGCAAATATGGAACTCGGAAAACAGCATGCAATCATTGGTTGCGAGTTTCGAGAAATTTAGTTACATTTTGCATCGTTTTAGTAGTTTTCTGTCCACATGCACACTTTTTGAGCTTATATGTTTTGGAACTGGGTGAAACGTACACACAGTGACTCACAGCATAAATGATGCAGTTGATATAACAAAAACTAACTGGTCTGAATGTCTATTTATTTGGGAAAAAACGACTTATTGAAATTAAGTTAGTAAAGAGCCCTCTAAAAAAGTGTGAAAGCTAAAACGATTGTGATGTGATTGTGAAAAAAACGATTTTTTTAATGGGTCGCCGGACTACAATTTCTGAGAGAAATTGATACAAAGAGTTATCTGTCAGCAAACTCTGTCAAAAATAACAACAGGACCAAATGTAGAGTTGAAGTGATCTGAATGTATTTTGTCTGTTGACAACTCTTAACAAAATTACCGTTCTCCCAAAGTGGTTCATAATTTACCACTTGTTGAGGGATAGTCGTGTCAAAATTTGTTCGTGTACGACTGGTTTTAGGCTAAAGGGGCGCAGGACGACTATTTTTGCAATAATTAAATGTCGCAATGTTTTCCTACTGCTTCGAAGCGGGGTTCTCAGCAAAATCAAAAAGTCACTTTTCACGTTTTAAGTAAAGAGTCTTTTCGGTTTCGATATTAAATGCAACAATTTTAATGTAAAATATACTTGTCTGATTGAAGTTTCTGAAATTTACCACATTTTTAAAAAATTTCGCATCCCGCAATGTAATGAAAAATTGTGGCAAATTAGGTGTGACGATCCCATACTTATTTACCCCCAACAAGATACGTCATAAAAATTCAAAAAGAATAGTAAGAATGACCCCTTCCTACTAAATGTCATTTCTCTTCAATGGCTATGAAGCTACCAAAATTATTTCATAGGTGGATTAAGGTGGACTATTTTATTATAGCACATTGAAAACTAAACTATCGCACGCAATTTTTGGGGTTCGAATTATGCTGTCCTGTCCTTTAATGGCTTAAAAGTTACCAGTAAAAGTAACCCTTTTGTACACGAAAGCTTGTAATCCTGTTAGAATAAACCAGTGGCGTCCTATCTTATTCATTAAAAATATACCACTAATATTCTATGTCTCCGAGTTTGGAGCATCGACATTTTAGTAAAAGGCTTCAAAAGGCTCAAGTTAGAACGTTGAAGGGCACGTGAGAAAAATGTGGCACTTGCACAAATTGCTGAGCACCCTTACTCGTTAAAACAGTATTTAGCGATACTGGTCGCTTGTTTGCCATTTTCATTAAATCAGTGGTTTTTTACTGAACCGAAAAGGCTGTTTATCTCAAGTATTTTGAAAAAAAATCTCAAGGAAACCGACAAAAAGTCGCGCGAAACGTAATAAATATTCCATGACGTTCCTAGGCAGCTCGAACACGATAATTTTAAAAAGAATAAAATGTTTACGAAGATGTCGTGGCGATCCACGATCGCGAAAAATATTTATGTAGAAAAAATATATTTTGCGTGTTTGGGTCAGTTTCGTGTAATTCGAAACTAACGAAATCAAAATTATAGGTGGACGTGGTGTTACCTGTTACTTTGGCCAGTGTTATCGGAAAAGCAGTAGAACAAGAAAATATTCATTATACTCGTGTGTAAAATGTAGCAAAGTTATTTATAAAGAGCAGTTCATTCTTGTTTAACCGTTTATATTCAGTGTTTCTTAATAAGAAAAAGGTTTGTATTATTGTAGGTCCCCAGGCCCCAGTGTGTTGAAATTTAAAAAAGGGAACGGCTTTTCCTAATTTTCATTGAACACACACACACCAACCACATTTTTTTCGAGTAACACCCTCTATATCACAAACAAAGCGGAGCTACTTTGAGGTAAACTTTTTTCTTAACATCATCCAAGGAACTGAGCATCTTTATTTTTTTTAATATAATTTTTATTTTAATGTAATTTGTCATAGATATTCTTGTTTCGCAAGTTAAATTCTGAAATCTTTAGTTGGAAATGGAAAAACAATCGTATTTGGTTCGAATGAAAACATACCGCCAGCAGAGGATCTAGATTCTGTAAAATTTATAAAGGCTTATTTGGCAAACGATCTTAAAGTTTCCAGTCAATTCCTTAAGCGAAAAACAAAAAGAAGTATTCCCTAGAAAATATACGTAGCTTAGCAAAAATTATTAATTTTGTAATATCCGACCTCTTCTAATAAACACTCTGTTTTTATTGACTTACTAGTATAACCATACGAGACCGTAGTGAACTTACCAATATTCGGTGTAAATTCATGTATCGAGATGTATAAAGCAATGTGATATAATTGTAAATAATAAATCTCTGTGGTATAAATATTACTTATACAAATTTATTAATTTTTCTTTGCAACTTGTCCGTATTATATTATGTAAAATAAACGTTTACTATATTAAAGATTTGTTTTGATCAGCGGATCGATTTTTAAAAAGGTATGACTAAAATTGAAATGAACCTTAAGCAGTTTTGAGATACTTGGTTTCCAATACAAAGAAAACAACTGGAGCTCTGACTTGAACAACTACTACTAAAGCTATACTAGTGGAATTTATTTATTTTTTTCGCCTACTCTAAAATAGCCACTTGTGTGCACTGATTAGAGTTCTCAAAATGTCACAAAGACTATCGCCACTTCGAGCGTTTCCGGTCTTTGGTGGCAGTCCACATCAAAATACAGGTAGTATTCTGGCATTTTGTTAAAATGCCAGAAGTGACTAAAGTTTACGCAACTTTACCTCAGTGTGTCATCAAACTAGCATTTGCATTGAGCGCCTAAAAGTAAAGACAAAATGACAACATTCTTCTTATTGTTTACGCCTAGACCTACATATTTTAATCATGTTATTCTTCACGCTAAAATTGAAATTAAGGTTCTTATAAAGTAGGATGCACAACAAATAGAATTCCTAAATTTTTTCTTCCTTATCGACTCTCATTTTATCATTTAAAAACATTTACCTAAATTTTTGAGGTTATGATTTTTGCGAAGGGTAAACCTCAGTGGAATTATGGTGTACACTATGAAGAATTCCAAAGAACTTATATATAACAAATGATATCTTACCACTACTCCATGAAGCTATAAGCAAATAAATCTGTCTGTGCCTCAGTCAACTTCGTTGATTAATGTTTTTCATTCTCTACTTCGGGCATGGATTATGTGGTGTTTCACACTTTTATTATTATTAAAACTAATTATTTAGATTTATAAATATTATTTTTATAGTTTTAAACACCACGAAAATTAAAAAGTATAATTTTTGCGAAACACTAAAAACAAACCAATTTTTGTTTTGTTTTCGCAAATAAATATTTATTTATATGAGGATTTTCAAATAAGCCATTGAAATCAGCTTTAAAAGACAGTACATAGAGTAGTACACAACGATGTCCGATGATCGTCTGTTAAGTGGCCATGTTCATCACCATGATATACAATGTAGAAATTTCTGCGTTCAAATCAAAAATTATTAGATATCGAAATTTGAAGCAAGGGATCTAGTAAATCCACCTTAGTGGTGGTAGTCTTTGATTGTATTAATATAAGCCTATACTTTCTGGCATGATCATATATTTTTTTAATTATCATGCACCAATAACTGAAAAACGGATAACGATACCGCCTGTTCCTTGGTTTACCGACGCTTTGCGTATAATGACAGAATATCGCAATCATCTTCTCTCGAAATATAAACGTAATAAAAATTAGAAATCTTTTCACCTCGACTGTACGGGCTGAAAAAAAAATTGATATGTTAGCCGTATAAAAAAGTCAAAAGGGATTTGGAAGACTATTGACCATCTGAATATCTACAACAGATCAAATAATGACGTCGATACTCCTAAATATCTGAGGAATCCTGAGCTCATTAATCAATATTTTGTTGACTCAGTGCGCCAGATTCCTGATACGGACTTTGATACCATTGAGGAGGGTTGGTCTGGGCTATGGTGGGATTGAGATCGAATGCACGCGGCACTAGAAATGCTAAAAAAAATGCCCAACTATATTGCCTATTCTTACTCAACTTTTTAATATTTGTATTGAAAGCTGTATATTTCGTGCGCGGTCTAAGATAGCAGAGGTTTTAGTGTTACCAAAAGTGAGCAAGCCCGACACCGTCGCAGACCTTCGACCTATTAGTCTGCTGCCAGTGCTTTCTAAAGTATTGTAAAAATTGATTTATATTCAGGATTTCGCAAAGAGTACAGTACGGCTACGGCATTGCTCAAAGTTTTGGATGATATCCTCTCAGCAGCAGATAAAAAGGAAATATCGGCTTTGGTTTTATTAGATTATGGTAAAGCTTTCGATACCTTCAATCATGCTATGCTCTGTGCCAAGTTAAAATACTACGGGTTTAAATTTAATACTTAACTTTAACTTGTACTATATTCCTTTCGCTAACATATCGGTTTGGTAATTTTTTAATTCAAGTAAATAGCTGGACTGTAATTGTAAGTACCCAGACGAACATTGATTTTGTTTGTTTTATGTATTGTGATTGCTACCATATTTTTGTTTCCTAACAAATGTATTTTAAAGGAATTCCGAAGAATTATTTGGTTTCCCTTAACTTAATGGGTGAGTTGTAGAGTCTAGAATACGTGATTAAAATATTAACATCTAATTTCGGAATACCCTGTATACGGTTGCTACTTAGGCGGACCCATACTTTACGGTTGAGTATCCCCTAATTAAAACCAAAACAAATTGAAATTTGGTTCCGTGCTCAATTTTAATAACAATATGAAGAACTATACATATTCAACGCGCGTACTTAGATTCCGCCAGCGCGCTCGTTATATCAAATGCAAAAGCACAAATAGAATTTGCAATTGAAAATTCTACATGATGCATGACGTTTCCCAGAGCGTGGCATAAATTGCGTGTCAGAAAATTCTATTAATACCCATCATATAGATACTTCTTTCGTTAGAAACACAATTAACTAGGTAGGGCTTTAAGAATAAAACTTCAATTTCAAAGTTTCTAGTGAAAAAGAACTGGGAATGGGATTTACGACCCACAGTCTACAAGCATTTCTAAATAGGTACGGTATTGACGAACAAAATTCGGCTTAGGAAAATATAATTAATATATTTTTTTAAACGAAAACAATTAGTAAATAAACAATCAATTTAACAGTTAATTGTTAAAAACTCAATTGTACAAAACAAAAATATTCCCTATATACAACAATGACAACATTAGCACATTGTTAAAACAACCGATAAGTGCCACATACTCATATTTAATAAGATTAGCTTACATTAAAACAAAGTTGTACTATACTAGTTTCCGCAAAGAGGCAGTTCATAATTGACGGACGCTGAGAGTGTTACAAATCATGAAAACTCATTTGGAATGTTAAGTAAATATTTCCCAACGAGCACGAAAACAGCTTCTACAGCCCAATAATGTTTGGTATCATGCGCCAGATGATTTTTCTATCGCTTGTAAGTCCCCAAGTATGAGTCGCAGTGAGGACACGTATGGTTCACGTCCATGCACGAGTCCATGCAGCAAGGTATAAGGCAGCAGCCCAAAAAGCACCTGCAAAACAATTCCGGATTTAATTGCAATTTAAAAGATTTATACTATAAAATCGTTGTTGCTTTTTTTTATAACAAAAAAAAACTATTTTTGTGAATATCGCGATTTAAATTTCAAGGGCCAAAAAAGTAGCTGACATGTGCCGAAATTTACAGCCCTACTTTTAAAGTATTTCAAATTCCACATTTTGGTGAATTGCCAATCGCTCTTGATGACCTTCAGTTTGGAAAATTATACACATGGCTGAAAAGTTTCAGTGTCACTGACTCTTCCAATTGAATATCGGACGGACATTGGTTTAGGTTTGGTTTAGTTGAAACCCGGCCATTTTACAAAAGTTTGAATGCAAAATTTGATTTTTTAGCACGATGCTATTTAAATAAAAGTCCCAAATTTCGATTCTGCTATTAATTTTAAACCCTTTTTTTACATTGTTTCGGCTTAACTGTTGGCCATTGTAAATTCTACTAGCTCTTACAAGAATGTCCCAGATATGTGGGAGCCATAAACATATTTCAATGTAGCAAAATACAGCATCGATGACAAATGTTCTCCGAATCAATTTTTAACCAGTTCGTTATTACAGAAAGAAATTGCATGTATTACTTTGTATCATTCTATCATGTGCATACATATAGCAACAAGGTTAAAACAGCTATCAACTTAAAACATCTTAAAAATTTGCGCTTTTTCATCAATTCCTGATTGTTGAGGTTTTACAACACCAAAGTAGCATTTTATCCCTGATTTTAAGGATAAATAAAGTAAATTCTGTTTTCTGTGAACAATCTATATGAATAGGCGCCTCATTTCTGTCTCCAAAAATAGTTTCCGTTTAGTTGACGTTGACACGTTTCTGTTTAAAATTTCAGCTGAAAATAGTCTTCATAATAGTCTTAATAATACCTGTAGATGTATTATTTGTGTAGCTATTGTGTAGCTTCTTATTTAGTTATGATCTTCATATTCTTTCTTGTGAGTTGAATATTTTACTGTATCTTCAGGGTTAGTGTCACCATCACATGGGCTGCTATTGGAAATATGTTTAGCTCTGGTACTACGAAGATTTTCCTCACTAAATATTCTCCGGCACTTCAATTTCTTAAGCCGACCTATCCTCCAGACGTAATTGAAGTCCCCTTTTTAAAACTGTGTTTGTAATTTTATCAACGTTTGCTATTATTTTTGTTTCTCTGACTTTGTTAATTTTTTGTTTGTTTAGCTTTAGACATTTACATTTCTCTGTATTTACTTTGTGGTTATTTGCTTCTATTCCTTTCTGCTTCCTTTCTTCTTTCAATATTTATTTTTCCAATTCTTCCAATTATGTTTTCATTGCATTTCGCCGATCTGAAGAAGTTAGCACAAATGACAGTCTTACAGTTTGCGTTTTGGAGTCTTCGGCCAAAAGAAGAAGAAGAACAATAGGTTATTTCGCTTTCGCAGTATTTTGTTCCGAATTTGATTCTACTTGCATCGGAGACGTCCCACATGAAGCAGAGGGAAAATTAGTGAACTATTATTATTTATAATAACAGGAATGTCTTCTATTTCATATGTTATCTGAAGTAGTTCTATGGGAGCATGAGGAAGTCCCAGTATTGTTCGTTACGAGATTGTCGATTTAGAACTATTCTGGAGTAGTTTGGATACTGTGGAATTCGGACCTTCCCCCCTGAAGTTTAAAACTGCTTTATTCCAACTAATTTTTAATGTTATCTTCAACCTTGAACATAATTCAGTCGTTTGAAGGGTCAAATGAGTTTTACGCCCATCAGCAAAAAAAACATGAAACTTGATCTTCTTTTTCACCAAATGTTTATAAATTACGTTTCCTATGTATTCATTGAAGTTTTCATTCTTTATCCATCCTGAGACATCTGATGGCAAGCTTTCAGAAATTCCAAACGTAATTTAAATGATGTCCAATTTCGTACACATTTTTGCTTTCTCTCACACTCTGCTTATTGCTTCAAAGGCTTTCTCTTATGGACCTTATGGAGGGTTGACCACCTTAAAATCTAGTTATTGGCCACTGCCAACTATTGGTTAGACATTTGAAAATATCTAAATATGCTATGCAATGGTTAATTTGTGCCCAAATTTTTATGGTATTGAAAATATAGGTCTTTAATAAAAAATTAAATATCTCGAAAACTCCTACAGCGATGTGCAATATGGCAATGCATTTAAAGGAAAGGATGATTTAAATTTCTTAATTTCTCCCAAATATAAGACACTCTGTATAAAGCTGATCGATTTTATTAATTTTAAAAGACAATTTATATTTTTTTTTTGTTAAATTGGTACTTTTTAAAAAAAATATGTTCAGCAAAATATGTTTGGAATTAACGGCAGAATCTTATTTTCTTATGATTATGCTTAATATTCTGCTCTCTTATTTATTTATAGGTGTAGTCTATATCACCTTGCCTTTTGACAGGCTAAACCCCAATAAATCTTTTATATTACTTATTATTTTTGGTTAAACTCATGGATGAATAATTTATTCATTTTTGAGTGAAAAAGCAATTATGGGTCAGATATTTCTATACCTAATTTTGACTAGTAAATTAGTGAGCCTTTTGAAAAAGTTATTATACTAGAATATAACAAAAACGAAGGAAAGCGGCCCTAATGTTGCCCTGCGACAAATGCAGAATCTAGCACGATATACTTTGAGACAAACTATACCATACATTTTCCGTTCAGTCTATTTTCCTCTTTGTCAAGGTTAAAACTATTATTTTCGGTAGTATAAATGTCGATAATCGTATTAAAAATGATTCTTAAAACGATAACATAATACTGTTTTGGACCCGACCAGCAATAAATATATACGAGACACCGTAAACATAAATTTTTTTACATTAACGGGAATTAGTTATCACATCACTGCAGCAATTATTTTCGTTTACGTTATGGAGGTTGTCTAAACAACTGTAAGAAGCGAACGATCCATAATAACATCTGTTTTAAATAAATTAGTTCGTTTATATTGCTTTCTGTTAAAGTAGGTATGACATCACAGATACGGCAATACTATTTATAAAACATAATTGCAGCAAAACGCGAGTTCGCCAAGTGGGTTTTCATCTTACTTTTACTTTTCGTTCTCATTTATTACAAACAAATGGCGCTAACGCGTTAACTATGTTTATTGGCTATAGCGCGACTAGCTTACCCTATAATACACAATATGGCACTGGCAACGTACGCCCTATTTCCAGGCTTTGGTTTTGTGAGTGTGTCTATTTCCGCGTGACAGTGGGGGCACACCATATGCGTAGAATTTGGACCGACCACCGGCACAATTGTGGTCAAAATTTCTGGACCTTTCATAACTGAAACAAAAAATAGAATGCACTTGCGGTTATGGAATGAATGTATGGAATCTTAATACATTTTTACAGGAACATCGCTTATTTTGCTCCCAACCTTTTTCTTATTTTTAATTTTTTGGGTCAAAAATGAAATTTTTTTAAAATTAAAATTAAGAAATTCTTTAACAATAATAATAATAAATAATAGCTCCTTATTTCCAACAGGCCGGAAAGGAAATTCAAATTTGGAAATCAAGTTAAACGTGTAAATCTTACAAAACTAAACTAAGCTAAATTACATATATGGAATGCTTAAAATAGAAAAAGAACTAAAACTAAAACCGAGATTAACAAAACAAAAACTAAAGCTAACGCCATCCGTACAGTGTGCACAAGTATTTTAACAGAGTTGAAACACTGCCACAAAATGTGCGAGAAAGAGATTGCTTATGGCATTTGTTAAAATCCAACTTAGACCTCACAAACAAGTAATACAATTTTTAAGAAGAAATCTTAAGAAAATGTTTACAGTTTGGCCAAACCAAATTGAAGGTTGTAGAGACAAACACAACTCCAAGATCCTTTAAGTCCCTTAAGTCTGTAGGTAGAGCTGTTTAGCGAGTAATCGAAATGAAGTGAAATTTTAAGAGACAATATTACATTTAGTAATAATTAGATTCACTCTATTAGCCCCATCCTGTACTGTACTGTACTGAATAAACTTCTCAACGCTATCTTGACGGGATTCACAGTTAATCTTCTGAAAGAATTTTTTTCCGGCACATGTCAATAACCAAAGACAGACACTTTTTAAGTCAACATCATAAAACGTTGAGAAGGAACTTTCAATATGAGCATGCGCGAGTCATGTCAAAAGTTGCTTTCAACGTAACCTTGCGACTCTCAATAATCGACACTAAGTTATCAAAACATGCCTAAAACCATTCAATTTTTGTGTGGAGATCGCTGGCACAAATTGAAGGTTAGGGTGTGCTTTTTACGACCCCTATTTATCTAAGAGCTGCTATAAATAATACGAGTTTTATTGGCCTGGTATGTCATATATCTTGTTTTAATACTTTGGGATTTATATCAACTTTTACAATATTTACCCTTCTTTCTGCTCAAGACTGTAATATTAGTTTGCCATGACAAAATAACATTGTCAAATTTTTACCTGACAACTGAGTAAATAAATTCATAAAATTGATTGCGGTGTCAGTAAATTAAAAAAAAAACTAAGTATGGATTTTTCTAAAGATTGATTTGATTTATATACGGGATGAGGCGGAAAAAAATACTTTGTTGGCAGTATGACTTTACAGTACATATACCAACTAAACAACCTCTTCAGTGTTTAATGGAATGGTTTGATGCTAGGGGTAGTATTGCATATTTAAAAAATGGTAAAAGATTATAAAAACTATTTTATTATAATTAAAAATAACATAAGTTAATTTGTAGTAATAGGTATTTAACATAATATACTTGAATTTTCTGTGAATTTCAAATTTGGCCCTTATTTTAACCAAAATTATTAATCACTGTCTGTTGCTTTATCTACGGCTCCAACAAAATTATTTCCCTGTTCACATTTTAGTCTTAACAGAACTCTGTTGGCTAATGCCAACTATTATTATAGCCATTGTTTTAGACAGAAAGAAGGGTAAATATTGGAAAAGTTAATATAAATCCCAAAGTATTAAAAAGTGATATATGAGACAATTAATAAAAGTTGTTGGTTTTTGTAAGATCCTTAAAAAAAATGGTGTGCCATTTTAGAAAATGTTTACACCATCTTCGAATAACGCTAATACCTTCAAAAATAATGGGGCCATAGTAATTTTTTGCATGTATGAAAACTAGTATCTTTTTAGAAAAATTAAAATATTGGAAAAATTATTAGGTATAGGTACATATTATTATTATTCTAAATGTTGAAGAAATTCAAAACGAGTTCAAAACAAAATTTTAAAACTTTTATATTCACCATTTTCTCATCACTTTTGAGACTTTTGAGATAATGAACTTTCTCGTTGATACATTGATAATTTTACTAAAAATGTCAGCGTTGGTCACTTACTTAACTTTAGTGAGTTTATATATTCGCTATCGATTTCTTTATAGATTTGAAAATGTGTTTACTTAATAGAAATCAGGCTCTAGAAAGTCGGCTTCACGTCGCCATTATTGCCTCCAAATAATACTTGGGAACAAAGCGATTCGAGTATAGTGTTGACATCATGTTCGCCCGAATAAACAAACGATGGCTTTGATCTTGCCTTTCCGCTTCACCGTGGCGGCCATGTGTTACCGCCTCTGCGTTAAAATAAAAATAAAAAAAATCGTTAAGTAGGTGGACCCACATTTTGATTCGTTAGCGTCGAGCGCGATTGTCTAGCTTTTGGATTTTCCTTGTGTTGCCCAATGGTCAAGCTTCGAAGCGTAAGTGTGAAACTCTGATACCATACAAGATAGATTGTAGGTATAATGTAAAACCCAGTTGTACACTTGCGTTGCGCAGATTTCAAAAAATTACCTTACCACTGGGCTAGGCCTGGGCACCATGATATCTAAAGGCGATTTCTGACGATCTTACCTGAACATACTTGAGTTGCTTAAAGTGACGTTTATATCTGCTGTCCAATTGATAAACGCCAGCAACCGATAAGGATAAAACAGGAGACACGCAATGATTTTCTTATGTTCTTTGATTATTCTAAATTTAATAAATTATTATTTCAGTTTAGTATTTAATATGTATGACATCTACTACATAAGAATAAAAAAAAACATAGCTCCGTTGTGCTCCAAGGTTTTGTTTGATTTAGCTCCATTGCTTGTGATACCTTCGGTAACATTTTTTTTCTCTTACTGGATCTTAATTGAGTTAACTATAACTGTCGGGTTACTACTCTAGATAAAGATACTTAAATATACCCAACCTCACCATAAATCGCACTAGGTAGGTTATGGTTGATATAATCAGTGCAGAGTAAAATAGATTGTTCATCTTGCTTCCACTTATACTTGCACAGATGTTGTTCCGCCCTAAATGTCTCTCTGATCAATGCAAGACAGCCGTCACCAGCGATCATGATTATATTACTTGGGAGTAAGGAACACAGAGTCAGTTGTACTTGACATTTATTAATTTAACTAGTACGCCCATACTCTGAGATGGATTCATGTATTTTCTATGTAATAATAGACCAGGGTGTTCCTTATTGATATGCGAATATTTAAGAGTAATAAACAAAGGTAGAACACTGGCAGGTGGGTTTTGCCATTCGAGTGGAAGCAGGTAAAATGCTGAGGCACCATCACTCTTGGTTTTATGATATGCGACTATGCCATCGTAAATCGTACAGACTATAGGTAGGGTCTGTTCATAGATATAAGAAAGTGACCAATTGCTTTTGAATGGGATTATCCAAGGGTGGTAATCAACATACAATGCAACAAGATTATTACCTAAAGTTTCGAAATTTAAATTCAGGTAACATTGTGGTTTGTAATAGAAAATAATTTTATACCTACCTGTCTTTAATATTCTTTGGTTTGGTATACTACTTTGTTTAAATTTATTAGTAATTATTCTTATTTCATGTGTAATACACAGTGTGTTGAATCGTGTGCGAATTATGGAAAATATGTGTATCTCAGGAGATGCCCAAATGTAGAAAACACCATTCTATTGAGACTAAGGAAGTTATAAACAATGTGTATTTGACTCTCATTGAACGTGGTACCAGCAAGCAAGCATCTTTAGAAAAAATTTCATTTCATTTCAGCGAGGAAAAAAACAAGCGATGCTGACATTTTCTCAAGTGTAGATGAAAGTGATCAAGATATAATATGGCGTAAAATTTACCAGTTATACGACGAACAAAGCGTGCCTACATTAGATATCTTAATTAAGAGGCTTGAAAAAGATGAAACCGGTGTTAAATGTGGCAGAACTACCTTATGGAAGTGTATTCAACACATGGGTTTTAGATTTAAAAAAATTGACAAGTTTTAATGGAAACTTTTAGAATTCGGAAATGGCGACTGGAATATCTAGAAAAAATTAGGATTTACAGAGAACAACAAAGGTCAATTATTTACTTGGATGAAACTTGGTTCGACACTTATGATACCCCGGAAAAGGGTTGGGTTGACTCAACTGATAAGTGTAAAACAAACGCGCCATCAAAAAAAGGTAAAATAGTTACCTATTTTGCATGCTGGCTCTAAAGATAAATAATTTGTAATTTTATTTTAGATTTAAACATAAATACATACATAAATAAATAAATATTGTTTAGTATCTTTCTAAGCAAAGCCGAACAGGCCCGGCCAAATTTAATTCTTGCAGCTTGCCCGGGTCTTTCCTTAATACGTATCAGTTAGTCACTTTCTTATATCTATGAACAGACCTTATGTATAAATGAATATTATATAGGCTTTGTACAAGATGGGAAATGTTCGAAAACCTAGAATTGTCAGGGAGTTTAACATAATTGCAAATTATAATGAATTTGGTTGATCTTGCCCTGTCAAAATATTGATTGTTCTCATGCAACACTCATAAACATACATTTATTTGAATTAATCATATATACAGGGTGTTTTAGAATAAAACGCTGAGGCGGGTTTTTTGAGTAGTTATAGTATTTGGTTATATATTCGAAATGGTGGAAAATTGTATATGTTAATTTGTTGTTTATTAATGCCACATGCAGTACAAACGATGGACTTCAAATTTCAGAAGTGTTGGAAAAGTTTGAAAAGAAAGGGGTTGTATAAACCTAGATGACTCAACCGAAACACAAACATTGATTAAACCACTTTTACAAATAGGTTATCAATATAACATTCAATTGTTCTCAGCTGATTTAAGCTATCGCGATTAGTAAATTATTCTAGAAGTATCTGTGTTGTCTTTAATTGACATTGACATCTATATGCATCACCTACTCATAAATGAACAAAAATCTGTGCCGAAACGCCAAGGTTTAGAGGTAATGGGTTAGAAA